AGCAAGTAAATGGGACAAAGGCAACATTGTGTCTGTATAGGATCCATTAGATGGCAAACGCAGCAATGTTTTTCCCCAATCTAAAATTTTTATAATCTTGGCAGTTTTAAAAATCTTTACTCTGACTCTCATTTATCATAGCAGTTTTCTTCGTGAAACCCCCCCAAAAGATAACAAATTGAATCAATAGTAGGAGTAAATGTCTTACTTATTTTCTGTTGGGTTCCTGATTATCAAATGCATGGATCCCCAAGAGCGTGGCCTTTAGAAAGGGATTTTCTGAGTCACTCCATCAAACTCAGTAATTGGTCAGAAAATTTAAATGTGAAAAATGCAAATTCATAACCAGTGAATAGATCATGCAAATATACATAAATTCATATTTCTATTAAGCATTGTTCATTTTGATATGTTGCTGCATTTCTAGTTTTAAGGATAATTTTCAGAAGAAAAAAAAAAGACTAGTTAAAAAGTTAAAACTAAATGTACTCAAATATGTATTTGTCTGTCCATACAAATAATTAAAATATAAAGAAGAAATAAAGCAATGGCTAAAACAAGTCTTTTTTTCCCTTTGAAGACAGTTAAACAAAATGGCATCTACCTCATCACAGACCTTGATTAATTTCTAACCTGCTAGACAGTCATCCTCCAGCACGAGGCCGCAGCGCTTCTGCCGAACACATGCTGACGTTCACATCACCATTCACACGAGAGCCCATTCAGAGCCACAGGCAGAAAAGGTCACTTTCAATAGAAACCCCAATAAAGAATGACTATTCAACATCACATGTAGCCAACAAAAGACTAGTCATCTCTAACAGCACAGAATGATGGTGAGGTTTTGCCTGGGTCTGTAGCGCACTCTCTTATGCATACAGTAGTGTTCGGATGAGCAACTACTGAGGACAGCTCAGTAAACAACATCTGTCTGTACATGCATCCCTCCCTGACCTCGTGTTTGATTTCTAATTGGTGTTAGCTATGGGTGTTCTGTGAAAAGAAGCCTTCGGCGCTGAATAAACGACAGGGGAGTCGGTCAGTGAGGATGATGGATGTTTAGCCCTTCATTGCCTTTCTTTACTCTGAATGAAGCCAAACCAGCATTTGGTTACTGGCATGACATCTTTAATTTCAACATGAAATCAAAATCTTAAAACATGTTCCTGGTTGTTATTCACTGTTTATCTGTGCACATTATTCCAAGGCAAACAAATGCTTGTCTTGGAAATCTTTGATCAAAATGTAGGGCTAATAACTTGCTGCCCTGCCCAATGTACATTTATGAAGACAGTACACTTATTTTAAGAAACAGTTATTTAACTAAATATATGCCACTGTTTGGAAGGGTCATTTTTTCCTCTTTATTTCTTTTAGAATATTACAGTAAAAAATACATTTTTAAACTGTGTACTGCCTACGCCTATATAGACTGCAGACTAAGCTTTCAGACAGTCATTAAATACAGATTATGAAAGTTTGGAGTGTGAGAGTAAGGATGCACACTATAACTCATGACAAAGGGCCTGGTAATGGCACAATTATTTGATTTACAGTTTCATAGTTTCTAATATTGAGTAACTAGTACCTCAGTTTGTAAGGATTAAAGTGGTTGGACAATAATTCACCTTGTAATGGAATCAATTTTACACGCTACACATTATTTTCGAAGTATACTCGAAAAACACTGCAAATCTTATCCCAGACATCCCACCCTGCAGAAATGCATTTCCGGGAGATGAAATGGATGCACAAACACTCCCCTGTAGTGTAGTGTGACAAAATAATAGGAAATCTGAATGCAAGCAGTCACAGGAGACACATTTGAAACGCATGAAAATACCAGGTAAAAAACGGTCATGTGTCTTGGCTGAACATTTGTGATCAGATCACCAAAAACACATCTCTCACACACTCGATTTCTGGGATATTGCATACAATATGCGAGAGGTGGGATGTCTCAGATCTAATATGGCACATTAATAGGAGGCATGTAAGATCCAGTGACATTTAATGTCATTGCTGCAACATCAGCAATCTAGGCTTTAAAGGCTAATTGACCTGAGAGCTCAAGTGGTGGGCCAGATTTTCAGAGAATCCTGAAATATGATACTCCAAAGGGGTCATGAACTGAGAAATCAAATTCCCTTGATCTTTTGACATATAACAGGTCAATGTACTATAAAAACATCCTGTACGTTTCAAAACTCAAAACTTTCTGGTTAGTGCCAAAACATTTTTTTAAATTATTTACTTCTTTTTCTTTTTTTAAATGCAATTACGTACAAATATTAGTACAAACATACACATCTCACAACAAATATGAAAAAAGGATGTGCATTTACACAAGTAAAGAAAAAAATATACTTGGTGTAAAAAGGTAAAACATTTATTTAACCCAATTAAAGTGACAAATGCTTCATAAGTCTTTTTAGCTTTTTTGTTTCTGATATTGTGCAAAGTAGTACCATGTTGTTTAATTTCTTTTATAAAATGTTCACAATTGGGCTTAGCTTTAGCCCATTTCTTTACATGAATATGATATTTTCCAAGTAAAATAATTAATTGTGCAAGAAAAGTAATTGTAGTGATCAATAGTATCTTGTACAAAACAAATATGACATCCTACATTTCAATTTGTATTAACGTTCCAAACATCCTAGAAATGAGACATTTATACAAAAAATTCTTGAGTGTACACACTGAAAAAATATTTTAAAAGATACCTCTCTTACTTTATTACTTATAAAAAACGTATTTGTTATTGACCTTACTTTCTTCCACTTAATGTTTTCATATTTAGATGACCAAAGGACTGTTGAGCATGGCACATGATTATTTTTGGACACTTATACACTATATAAGAATTATGTGCCATGCTCAGTTCAAGCTGTTACTGAATTTATCTTTAACAATATTAGTATCACCAATAAATATCATATCAGTACAAGTCATTGGCTGTTGGTCAGCATTAACAGAGATACAACTTTACTTGGGATTGCATCAAAAATAACAGCATTCTTTTGGTTTCACAGGAATTTAATTTATTTTTAAGGAATTCTGGGTATGACAAACGCAAACCATGTTCATTAAGCAACTGACTAACAGTTAATATTCCATTGGCATACCATGTCTGATTAATGATTTAAAAAACAATTTTTTTATACAAGATATCTCTATTACGCTACAGAAAATGATGTGGTGTAAAAATGTGCTTCTAGATTGTTAGTTCAAAAACACCTTTTATTGAAACCAAGATTATGACGTCATAGTGCGACGAAAGACCGCCTCTGCTGAAGAAGATCAACGCCTACTTCTACATCACTGCCTCTTTAGCCCCGCCCACTGATGTTTTCCGAGTCTTGACTCCCCGCCTATAAAAACAGAGTGTCAAAAACAGGGTAAAAATAGGGTCATTACTTCTAAATTATGATGTTTTTTATGTACAAATCCTACTAACATTGTAAGTGGACCTCAGAGGACATTATAAAATAAATAATAATAATAATAATAAAAAATGCAGTTAATGACCCCTTTAAATAGAATACTTGTTTTATGTTTTTTTTCCCCCTGCAGCTTAAAAACGGTCCCCATTCATATTAATGCATGAGAAACAACATGCTCATAACCTCGGCTAACGTCCTGCAAGGCTTTTTCAAAGCTAAGAACAAACGTTCTTCTAGTAATGTTACTAAATTGTTTGTTCAAAGTCTTTATAGTCAAAGTCTTTATAATATACACTCTAAAAAATGCTGGGTTAAATAAACCCAGCAATTGGGCTGTTTTGACCCAGCGGTTGGGTTACTACCCAGAAGGTTGGGTTGAACATTTAATCAAACCGCTGGGCCAAAACAGCCCAATTGCTGGGTTTGTCCCTATTTTACCCAGCACTGGGTTGTATTTAACCCAGCATTTTTAGAGTGTACAAATCCACTTGTGCACAGAAATACATTTTTTCCCCCCACTGACTGAATGTTGAGCATTCAGATGAAGCTGATGTGTTGTTTTTGGTCATTTGTAGCTCAAGCAGAGCAGCAGAGTGTCTAACAGTCAGCTCAACAGTGCACTCTTAAATATGCTGCGTTAAATACAACCCAGTGCTGGGTAAAATAGGGACAAACCCAGCAATTGGGCTGTTTTGACTCAGCGGTTGGGTTACTACCCAGAAGGTTGGGTTGAACATTTAATCTAACCGCTGGACCAAAACAGCCCAATTGCTGGGTTTGTCCCTATTTTACCCAGCACTGGGCTGTATTTAACCCAGCATTTTTTAGAGTGTACTTACTGTTTCAGATGCTTCAGATAAGTGTTTGCAAAATGGTAAAATTGAACATCCTCTATTTTTTTTCTAAAATTCACATAACTAAGAAAAAACTTTAGGATTATGATTATTATTAACTGGACGGTTTAACTTAACCTACACTCTAAAAGATGCTGGGTTGTTTCAACCCAACTTTGGGTCAAATATGGACTAACCCAACTTTTGGGTTAAAAATTGAATGTAAAAATGTAACCCAACAGTTGGGTTAGTCCATATTTGACCCAAAGTTGGGTTGAAACAACCCAGCATTTTTTTAGAGTGTACTTATGAGAAAAGTAGCATATTTTTGTCAGCTGGGGTAAAGTTAAAAATGGAAAGTTTGGAACTGGTTGAAATGTGAAGCTAAACGATGAGCATATAACGCAACTGATACGCGCAAAGATATTAAAAAGGATTGTTAACGTACAGCAAATAGAGAAAAAAAATCCATCGCGAAACTACCAGTTCATAAATCTGGATTCTGGAATCACACCCTTAAAAGGACGATTTACAGCTCAAATACACACTTTTGTGCGGTGAAGTGAGCTAATAAGCACTTTAACTCAATTACGAGCTGCGTTTATTTGAAGCCTCGTTTACAAACTGAGGAACGAGTGGAAATGATTTTCTGTGGTAATCAAGCGCATCTGAACTAGTGCGAATCCGAGCTGGGTAAACTAACCGGAGTCGGGTGGAGGAATTCTCCATGGTGCTGAAAGTACACTACTTCATCCACACGACTGAGGGAGGGAGAGGGGCGATCAGCCACACCCGCTTCAGCTTATTGGGCATCTTTCCGTGGAACGTCACATGCAAAACAGCCACACGTTTGTGCCGATGAATTATAGATTAAAGGGAGGCTGAAAATGCAGATTCGGTCCAACACACAAACACGGAACTCGATCGACGCACGGTCCGACTGCGCGCGCCTCATCCACCGATGACTGAGGAGATGCGTCCTGACGAGCCCTGCTGAAGAGCTCCAGCCTTCCCAGCGATCTCCGTTTGACAGCGTTCACTCACAAACAGCACGGCGAAGACAGAAACCCGCACGATGCTGGGATTCTGCAGAGATGGGACAGCGGTGGCTCTCATACTGCTCAACGCACTGGTGCTCATAGCTGCAGCAGACGAGGAGGTCATCTTTACCGATCATTTTCTGGTCCAGTTGCACGAGGGGACGAATGAAGATGCTCATCAACTTGCCCGGGAGCATGGCTTTGGGAGTGCAAGGAAGGCAAGTAGCAGTATGCACAGCAGAACGCCTTCAAAACTGCCACTTTGATGCTTGCATGTTTGTTTTAGACTTTTATAATAATGCAATCACATATATATCAATCTGAGTACAGGGTGTTCTTGTGTACAACTCAAACAAAGCAAGTGCTACATTCATTCAGCAAGATACAAGCGCAGAAGTTGATAGGTTGGTAAATAAAACTGCTCTTCTGTTACAGTACATTTACAAAGTCATGCCTAATTTATAGTTGTTTACTGGTCATTACAGATCATTAGGGTTTCCTACAGAAATCTTAAAGGAAAGTGTACAGGGTTCATACTGGTACTGCCAAATCCTACAGGGATAAATAAGAACACTTTACAAATTAAATCCTTCTTATTATAATAACACATGTGAAAACAGGAATGGCAGTTTATCCAGTGGGATTTTTGCCCATATTTGATGCTATAAGAATCTATAGGATTGGTTCCAAATTATGATTCCAATAGAAATGCTGCACACATCGCTGTAAGATCATTCGACTAGCGTGGAACTAGGAGACTGATATCATACAGATATTCAGGTAATTATGAAAACAGCATCATTAGTGTGTGGATCTTTAAAAGTCAACACAATTTCTTGTTTGGAGTACAATAGAAATATTCAAATAAAAAACAACACATGAACCCCTCAGAGTTGCAGAAAATAGCATTATGCTAATATGATTCTTTTCAGTTGCATAAGTGTTATGAGCAGTAAGAAAATGACTGAGAATGACTCGAGTGTAAATAGTAAGCATATTTTTTTATCTGACATCGCAGTGTTTATGTATCCCATCTCCACGAAGAGCTGTTTATCACCGAACAGAGCACTTGATTAGCCTGACAAATCAGCCTTGTCAAATGCTTTTCAGTTGCATAAGTGTTATGAGCAGTAAGAAAATGACTGAGAATGACTCGAGTGTAAATAGTAAGCATATTTTTTATCTGACATCGCAGTGTTTATGTATCCCATCTCCACGAAGAGCTGTTTATCACCGAACAGAGCACTTGATTAGCCTGACAAATCAGCCTTGTCAAATATCAAAGCATGGCTGCTGCAGCTCTCACTGAAGTGGAACAGAGCTTCATGTGTGGCCATGCTTAGGAATAACACCTGACTGATTATCATATGTATGGCTTATTGATTTTGACAATTTGTTGGGGTTTTTTTGGGAGGGATTTTGTCCTCGTGATTCACACACACTATTGTCTGAGCCAGTATATGCTCCCCTTCCTTGAATTATGTAATTCTCTGCTTTCTTTGCTCAAGAAAGACGCACCTTAATAAACACTGAACTCTGAGATGGAGCCTCTGTTAGTTTTACTGGAGAGTCTTCAGCTTTTCACTCACATTACTTGACCTCAGTTCCTCGATCAGAATTGACTATCAGTGCTTCTCATTCAGGGATTTTCCCTTTTCTTTTCTTTAGCATGGCACGTCTCATAGAGCAGGATTCTAATGTACAATGTCAGCCTGGTGAACTGACTTTGTCCTCCTGAAGTAGGGGAACGATTTGGAACAAATAAAAATAAATAAAATGAATTACGCCAAAAGGTGTGCACCAAATTAAAAGAGCTAACATTTCATATAAACTACAACATTATAATTTAATCTACGGCAAGACAGTTGAGATAAAAAATTAAATAAAAAATACAATACAGCTGCCAAAATATTGCACGGTCAGAGAGCTCTCGGATTTCATCAAAAATATCTTCATTTGTGTTACGAATACGAACAAAGGTCTTACAGATTTGGAACGACATGAGGGTGAGTAATTAATGACAGAATTTTAATTTTTTGGGTGAACTAACTCTTTAACATTATCAGTCATATTTGGGGAAAACATGCATCTAATGGGTTTCCATAATCATATTCCACACTTCTTAAACTCTGCTGCTCTTCTAATCGAGGTGCGTTTAATTGCAGCTTCCTTTTGGCGAGGGACTATTTCATTTCTACCCATGGGAAATCCCTAAAACCAGGAGGAAACGCAGCCTTCAGCAGCACCGGCGCCTGGCGAAGGATCACCGGGTAAGACCAGAAACTCACCGTGTGTTTGTTCCCATAGAAACTAGCCCAGGCACTGGAAAACAATAGCCGATCTGATGCCAGAGCCATTGTTTGTAGAAGTTAAAGGCTAACATGCCAATCACCGAAAGACTCCGTTTTAGCTCGTACCTTGGCTTGATGTTTGAGTGGTATTTTATCAGGTATTATGACATTACGCAGTTTGATTGAGGTTACATTATGAAAATTCTTAGTTGCCGATGGTGCTCTAGGTGCGCTAAAATATAGAATATAGTAACAGAGACGTGTTTGTCTTTATGTTATGATGTGAACGGTTGAACAAAAGGTGTGTAGACTCTATCCATTAAGTGCTGGTTATTTCACAGACTCAAAAAGTGAAATATACAGCTGTGCTCCTGGATATCACCCACTACCACTTAAACACAGTTTTGGTTTCCAGTCTGTCTGGAGCTACTACTTGACTGGAGAACTACTTGTTCATAAAAATAAATGAACCATGGTTTTTTGAGACAGAACATGGGAACTCACATTAGAGGATCTGTTCGCTTTCGGCACTTTTAATAACGAAACAGCTATTAATGTTCAATTGTGGTTTTCTTTCGGGCTTGAAGAGGTGAATTATTTATTAGTCCGTTCATCAGGGCTGAGTGTGTTAACTCATCCATTCATATTAAATGAGGAAAAAAAGGCATTATCAGGAATTTGTGGATGAAATCAAGCACCACCTCCAACCACCTGACTAATGCCCACTCTTCAATATCCACTCATTTCCTGATGGATAAAATCAATCCGACCCTGCATTTTCTCCTGATTGATTATCATCTCCCAATATACATCACATGATGAGAGCGAGATGTCATAAAATCAGTGTTACACAAGAAAGAAAATTGTCTCCACTAACGAATGCCCCTGCAATTATACATGCATTCACTCTAATGTAAAAAATCCCATTATTCCATCTATTGTACAGATGATGTCTGATAACTTCCCCAATCTGAGTTTGGATTCAATTAAAGGCTGTTCCAACAAGCAGGGTAATAAATTCAGAAGTGACAGACCTATCACATTCAATCCATTCGTCATCTTGACAAATGACACGCGCGTCTCATTAACAGACTGTGATGTGCTTTAGCTCAGCGGTTCTCACTGATGGGCCGAAATCAGGTCATGGGCAGCGGGGAAAAACTATTGCAAATGCAAATAATAGAAACGTGTAACTAACTGTGTGTCCAATCAAACTAAAAAAATTAGTTTGACCCAAATTGTTTTCAGTACATGTTCAAATACAATAGGAATAAACACTTTTGTTGGTTTGTGCATGGACCAAAGAGATGTTCAGAAAGCAAAATGGACAGCTTCGTTGCATTGATTTTGAAAAAATTCAAAATTCAAAAAAATTAAAATTCAAAAGCCAAATTCCTATTACCTCAACAGTGTGTTGGCTTTAGGCCCTCATTCATATTCATGCAAAGAGCCTTCGGTTTGACCCTGGAAGGCCCTTCAGAATCAGTGCTTACAGATGAAGGGGAGGTTTCTCCATCACCACAATCATTTCCGCTCAAGTGTTGTCTCAGAGCGTGGTGTATTGATCTGTTTCTTGTTTTTGTGCTCTGCTCGTTCACACGCTCCTCTCTGTCTGTTTCCACTGAGACTAATGTTTGCTTTGCTCTTCATTTGGACAGTCTCTCCCTTTCTGTCCTGTTTAGATGTTACGTAACAGCGTTCTTCATTATGCTGCTGAATGTCTCCCTGAAGTCAACATGACTGTCTACGATCTGTTTTACTTCCGGATTTCTGAATCAAGTTATTACATTTTAATGAAGGATTACGCAGATGACGTGCACTACTGATCTGTACTGATCAATAAGACTAGGAATGTGTGTTGAGGGTCATGAAATTAAAGGCACAATATGTCATTTTCGCCGCTGGAGGGCGTGTATTCAAAATAAACAAATAGACAAAGGCGTAGTTTGATGACGGCGTGACTGAGTGTGGAATCATGGGAGTTGTGGTCTTCATCCAGCCATCGCAATCCGACGGGACTCGGGCAGAAATCATGTTCATGGAAGAGCTAATGATTTATTAACGTAGTAGAATGAAGCAGGGTGAGGCTGAAAGCCGTCGAAGCGAGGCGCCTGAACGATTGCGACACACGGCTCGAAAGCAGCGGGGCTTTTATTATGCCACAGTCGACCGCTTCTGCTGCTTCCGGTCGTGCGTATGTGGGGTAAAGCAGCGCTGTTTTATCATACTAGATACATTTGAAAGTTCTGTTATAATGCCACTCTGTGCATTATAACAGTAAATGCGGTCGTCACCGGCCTATTAAAATGCACAACATATTAAAGCGTCTTTGGTGTTTCCATGTTTTCTACAAAACAAATACGTAAATACGTAAATCGAGGGGTTATGACGTCATTGGCAGGCGACACAATGACACTATTTAAGTTAAAATTGCTTATTTCTCTGGACATTCTTCGAAACATTTGGGATAATGTAAGTACACAAGTCAGCAAAATATATAACACTGTTCTAGTGGTTTTTGGATATTTTAATAAAAAAATCTTACATATTGTGCCTTTAATGGGGGGGCTTGGGACAAAAAATGTCACCAAATTGGACAAATATGCCCCTGTACAATTAAACTAAATCTATTAAGGATGTCATGAATAAAGTGAAAATGAAAAGTGTTGATTGCGTTTAGATCTGCTAATGATGCATCGAATTTCTTTTTACGTGTTTTTACAGTGTTGTGCATCATAACCAATCACACACAATTTTGTTGAGCTTATGAATGCAATGGCCAATCAGAAGCTTCAAGATGAGTCATCGCTGAAAGTTCAGTGTGCGTGCTCGCTGATTGAATTCTGCACGTGAATTCTCATCGTAAACAACAAAGTCGAGATGTACATACGATGTACTGTAAGTAAGAGATTCATTTGACAGTGTAGACAGCTTCAATGATTATAACGGGGGAGTTTTTTGAGCATGCTTAAGGGGGACATAACACACAGTTTCTGCCAATCTCATATTCATTTTGAGTACCTATAGAGTAGTACTGCATCCTTCATATCTCTGAAGAGTCTTTAGTTTTATCAGATTTATAAAAGACAGATACAGCTGTACCGAAAACAGTAGAGCTCCTGGAGGCGTGCCATGGGTGGAGCTAAAGAGTCACGAGCACTTGCAACTTTTGCGTAGCGATCGTCTGCAAGCTGTGACATCGAAATAAATAAAATAGGAACAAAAACTTTATTGACTTAAATTAACTATGGCTAACGAATTAACAAATGAAGCACGTTGATGTGTGCGCGCGCTTATCCTGGAGAAGTGCCCATACAAGGAATTCTTATGATGTCCCTTTATGATGTCATACAGGGCCATACTTGAAAAAAAAAAGTTATTTAGCATTTATTTAGCAGTCATACACTCAACTCGTTTTTGAAACTTTGGCCATGTTTAGCATGAGAATCCAACTCTTTAACAGTGTAAATAACTCAGAATGCATGAAATAGCATTAGACCCCCAGTTTAAACTGAAGTCAGTCATATCCTTTGATAATGTAAATATTCTTTGCTCGCTTTTTGTATATAAATTATTCACTGTTTGAATAACCGTGAAAATTAAAGCATTAGAATTAGTAACTTACAATATTTGTATTAAATTATGATCATGTTATATACAAATTCAGTTAAAGGCTCTATATTAAAAATATTTTGTGACATGACACCATATCTGGTATTTATGGAAGCCTCTTTCCTCCACTGAATAAAAAAAAAAAAAAGGGTAGTTGCTTTTTCCCCCCTCGCAGTTGTGAGTTTACATCTCACAGTTCTGACTTTTTTCTCCGAATTTCGTGATATTCTGACTTTTTCTCGCAATTGCAAGTTATACAGTCAGAATTGTGAGTTATAAACTCGCAATTGTAATAATTTTTTCCCCCTCAGAATTGGACTTGTTAATCATGCTAGCAACAGGCTAATCATATTAGAAACAAACTAGTAACGTGCTTATCATACTAAAACATGCTAGTAACATGGAAGACATTATGCACTGTTGCTACCTTGGAAATGCATGTATTTTCTTTATGAAATGCAAATCTGGTACTTGTTGTTCTATCACTTGGATTAATTTAATAATTTTCATCAATTTCATTACTTTTATTATTATTATTATTTAAAGTTGCTTTGGGTGAAACATAATAACATGAAGATCTGGCTGCAAAGAAAAAGGAAAGTACTCATGGTGATGCACATATGAAGAGTAGGGTGCCATTTTGAGAAGCAGCATCATCTGAGTCATGAGTGTGTGAGATGTGAGGAGATAAGACGGGCTGTTCTGAGTGCCATCCCACAGGAAACACCAGCGTATCCAGAACACACAGGGTTAACCAGCATATGCCTGAATGTGTCACTGATGTTCTGTTCTCTCAGTCAAGAAACATCAGAAATCAATGTTAAAATCTGATATTTTTTGGGCTCATGGATTGTAAAACACAATGCGACTGATTGCAAAATTGATAAATTAAAGGTAATGTGTCCTTCAATACTGATATACGGTAGTGTAGAAATTGTTCTGCAAAATTGTGAATCTTTACGATAGACATAACCAACACATAAACCCATGAAGCCAATTTAATCCAGAGAACAGCACTTGTACTTGTCACTTTCCCTCCTTTCAGCTCAAATTCTTACAACTCAATTATCATGTCCTTGAATCCAGTGCCTGGCAGAGCTGGATTTCCCTCTTTTGCAGAAAGTAGCACATGCTCTAAAAAATTTAACAGACGTTTGCACAATGACCAAAATCTCATATCACAGTATGAGTCATTTTTTATCACAGTAATATCATGAAATATATTTCTCCTAAATATTTGAGTAAAACTGGTTTATACCAGGGTTATTAAAAACGGTTACTTAAAATATACAAACATAGCACAAGCGTTAACAATACCCGACAACAGAAGAGTGCAAGACATGAACTTAAATACACTGAGAAAACAAGATTAATTAATGATACACACCTGAGCACCCAACCAATCTGAAACCATGCCAACAAACTCAACTATGGGAACAGTGCAAACTGACCAAACAATGTGAACGTGTGACGGTACACCCCCTCCGGAAAGGCGCGACCTCACGCAGGCAGATGGAGGAGGCTTAGATGGAGGACGGAAGACTGGGAAAGGAACAAAAAAAGTCCAGGGGGGTGCAGATGGTGGCGTAATCCCATGGATGGTCTTGAACAGGGAAGGGTAGATGGTAACCCAGCTGCTGGAGGGAGGAGCCATGGAGGAAGAAGACCAGATGACCTCATGGAGACGATGGCAACCTCGGAGATGGAGCCCACCGCGTAGCTGGAGAGCTGATGAAGAGGAGAGACATCAAAGACCTAGGTGGCCGCGACGGAGCCGCAGTGACGACCCCCTGAGACGGAAGCAGGAATCTGGGGGGGCAGAGGTTAAACTGGAGCGACTGAGGGTGGAGCCAGCCGAAGCCGAATGGGTTAAGGGCCAGGCGAAGGCAGTGCGATGTTGACCCTTGTGGAGCCGAAGTACAGAGGAAGCCCAACGAGGCTGAATGCCTGATGGTCTCTGATGACATCGAGGGTGATAGAAGTGCAGGTATAGGAGTCAGGACGATGAGTTGAGGTGGAATGGAGCACTCAGAGGCCAAAGGCAGAGCTCAGCAGACCCGAGGTGTAAACACACCACTGAGAGGAGGCGGTGTTAGGCTTGATCGCTCCTCCTGATGTTGGTTCCTACATCGTGGCTAAGGTGCCCTTTCCGTTTGCAGCTCATGCAGTTGCTCCTTGCAGCGGGGCAGTGTTTGGTTTGGCACTGGGTTGGGAGTGGGGCTGGCGTCGTCGTCTGCTAGACCAACGAAAAACATGGATTGCCCGGGATTCCAGCACCGACTCCACAAATGCAGCGAAGCTCCCTCGAGGACCCTATCCGGACAACTGGACCTTTGTTGAGGTATTGAGTCCCGTGAAAAGTAACGAACAAAGGCAGTCATCTGGGAAGTTTGACTGATGGGCGAAGTCAAGGAATTCTTCCAAATGTTCCTTGAGGGAGCGGTTCCCCTGCTCAAGGCATATTAGGTGAACAGCAGGGATGTCCATCATGAAAACAAAGTAAAAATAAAAAAAGCACACAAAAGAAAAAAGTCTTCAGCTCTGGTTGCACAAAGCACCTGTGCGACGAGGAAGAAGATAGGTAATCAAAACAGTCTTTAATAGTCCACAGGTAAATTCAGATACATGGTGACAACCAAAGCACAAGGGTTAACAATACCCAACAACTGAAGAGTGCAAGACATGAACTTAAATACACTGAGAAAACAAGGGTAATTAATGATACACACCTGAACTAAAGGTGCAAACTGAAAACAAAGTCCAAACACTGAGAGTGTAACAATTGCCCAGATTACTGTACTGTGTTTGTAGTCTGAATTATTGCTTTAAATAATCTATATTAAGCTATGACATACATTCAGCATAACCTTAAATCATATTTATCAGTGATGCATTAGAAATAACTTTCTATCGCTCGTAATTGTATTACCACATGGTTCTGTATTTGTGAGGCTCTTTCCAATTTGTTTTGAGATTTACAATTCAAAATTGTCCCAGTTTTCTATTTTTCCCAGTATGCTTTATGTATCTTAGCATGACCCTTACTTGCAGAGACATCAACTACAGAAGACAAGCTGATTGAATGACTGAATCTGAGAGACTCTGAATGAGTGTTTCATCTGTTGATTTACTCTCACACTGGATCAATGGGGTCAAAGAGCTCTGACCTCTCCTGCGTCTCCAGCTGCTGTCGTTTATTTGCACGACTAAGAGTTATTTGTAATCTCACAGAGAGCGTTGTGCATTTCATTGTTAGTGTTTTTGTAATTATATTTTAATGGATGTAAAGGTCCAAAGTAATTACAATAATTTGCCGCATATTGTGCTCAATGAACAGATTTATTCCAACATGATTTGCAAAAATTATAAAATGCCACTACATAATATGTGTCCTTATTTTTTCTGTATTGACCAATCAGAATGCAGGACCATGACTATATGTTTCATAATAGACTCTCATCTAAGGTCGGGAATACCATCTGCTCACTGAAATAATCAAAACGTCATCAGCTATCAGTGTTTTGAGCATTAAAATGTTCTCTAATCTGTTAGTCTTTACACTTGGCGAAATTAACAATCAAAATGGCTGTGAAAATGAAAATGCTCAATTGATGCCAGTATTCTGGTTGTCTGGGGGGCCGTTTAGTGCCGCCATCAAAGCGCTCTTTGAATGCGAGTGCAGACTTTGATCTGTTATCTGTGGCGAGCGCACATGCTAATGTAAGAGTGTCATTGGGGTTTTCTTTGTCTGTGAGGAATGGCTGACGTCATGTTTTACAGTGGTGGGCTTCTGCTGCTGCTAAGGTCAAAGGTCACGCTGTGAAGCTGCTTTAAAGGACAGCCATCCAGCCATAAGTAATCCTGTACTCTGAACCTCTACAGGCTGTGAATATTGTGCTGTGCTCGGCTGATGAGACTTCATGGCTGATCACCAGCAGATGCTGGTGTTCCCAACAGGCTTTTCAACTAGCTTGGGGACTATAGATTTTACTTTATGAAATTGCACGATGCATTAATATTTAAAGGCAAGACAATACAGGCCAAAACATAGTTTTTTCATGCACTGGTCAGTTTTGAGAGTTTGGGCTATTTGGCTTTTCATAAAGTGTTGTGTCAGCCTGGTGGAAAGAAAACATCCAAAATACACTTTTAAGTGTTTATTTTATTGCACTTCTATTTGTGTCTGTAGATTTCATTTACAATACACCTCTTTAAAGGCTGTGAGTTTTCCCCCCCTTTATTTCAGCAGCACATACATTCATATACTATATTCTGAAGGCTTTTATTGAGGGGTTTGTTCATATAGCATTCGTCTGGTTATATATAACATTTAATTTATTCCTAAAAACATGATATAAAATATTTTTTGTCTGTTGACAGTATTTTCTGATTTATGGAGTGATAAAAAGAGAAATCCAAAATCCTCTGTGTAAAAACCTTTAGTATGTCAGCAAAACCAAATAAGAATTTTGAACCTGGCTTTATCAAATGTTCAGATTTCTGAAATATATGCACATTTAAAAAAACTTGGAATACAATATATTTGCAATTCATACTGCAAACAGTCAACTGGAGAAGTATGGTGATATCCATTATTTACTGTACATCTGCCTTAAACAAAAAATCTGCAAAAATGAGCACAGAGACATTCTCTCTTAGACTGCACTTTGCTGCATGCTAGCTTTTTGCTTGGTACACAATTTGTTGAATGAAATGTGATATTCAAGCAATGAAGTGTGAGCCTGGAAGGCTGAAATCCAATGAAATCCAATGAAAGTTGCCTTTGCTTTGTTTTTCAGGTGAAAAATGTGTTTCCTCAGGAGGGTTTTGGCCGCCAAAAGAGGGGCTACAGAGAAATCAGTAACACTGACGTCAATATGAGTGACCCGCTTTTCACCAAGCAGTGGTATCTTGTAAGTAATTACAGTTCGTAATGTCTTCATTTGATTTGACCTTCAGCATTGGAACTGATTGCATTGGATTAGCCGGGATCTCCGATTCTCTTCATTTAAACCATTTTCTTCATTAGCCATAACTGTCAACATTGGTGCGTGAGCCAGCATCAAAACACGCTGATATCTTCCTTATTTCTCCAGGGCTAATCGTGACAGGCATCCCTGTCTGTTTTGCCAGGGAGAACAGTTTAATTTTGTTTGTCAGTTATAAACACTGAACAGCAGGGTTTCAGCCAAGTGTAATATCTGTGTGACATTTATTTTCCCTCCCGCACCACCTCCCTCATAACATTTTCGACGCATTGGGTACTCCGCTTGTGTGACAGTTTGGTTTTGTTTGATTAGATAAATACAGGCCAAGCGGATGGGACTCCAGGGCTTTGGATTAGCCGGGATCTCCGATTCTCTTCATTTAAACCATTTTCCTCATTAGCCATAACTGTCAACATTGGTGCGTGAGCCAGCATCAAAACACGCTGATATCTTCCTTATTTCTCCAGGGCTAATCGTGACAGGCATCCCTGTCTGTTTTGCCAGGGAGAACAGTTTAATTTTGTTTGTCAGTTATAAACACCGAACAGCAGGGTTTCAGCCAAGTGTAATATCTGTGTGACATTTATTTTCCCTCCCGTGCCACCTCCCTCATAACATTTTCGACGCATTGGGTACTCCGCTTGTGTGACAGTTTGGTTTTGTTTGATTAGATAAATACAGGCCAAGCGGATGGGACCCCAGGGCTGGATCTTAATGTGGCAGAAGCCTGGAACATGGGCTTCACCGGCAAAGGTGTTACCATCGCCATCATGGACGACGGTGTGTGAAATCTGGCAACCATAGACCAGTTATTTAAGACTTAAAGGCCGCAATAATGTGCAAAAATGTAAACATTAAACGTCCAGTAATGTGTCCTTTTGCCATCACTTTGCAGGTATTGATTACCTACATCCAGATCTCGCCTCAAATTACGTAAGTGCTTCATCATTTGATCCACATGTTTAATATGATTTGAAGTAACCTTGTTGGATGGATGGACAGATATGCAGATATGCTATATTGTCATTGACAATGCAATTAAATGCAATTAAACCACATTTACAAGACTTTATTAATAAATCAGTTTATTTCCCAGTAGTGACATCAATGTTGGATGGATGGACAGATATGCAGATATGCTATATTGTCATTGAGCACCTTTACTTGCACACCAATACGCTGATAACTCACAAAAAGCAGCTTATTGAAAAACCCGTTGTCCCAGTTTACATGCAAACCCATAACCCTGCAATGCAATTAAACCACATTTGATTGGTTTCACAACAATATCATATAAACAGGTTACATGATATTAGATGACTTATATCATGTGAAACCTCAGTCTTGAGTCTTGAGTTGTCCTCGGCTCGTGACAGATTTCCCAAATGGCTGTTTAAGGTTAATGTAGAGCATTAAGCAAGAGCAAAAGAAAGCGTCATTTTGCAATTTTCAACCTAATTAATGTTTAATATTCATGTGGCTTATGAAGCAATGCAGCATGTTCACAGTGGACTAAATCCAGCATATGGCAATGATCCCCATTCTAATGGGTTGCAAAGACAGGCTTTCTTTTGCTCAAACAGATGACACATTTGCATCCTGTGTGCTATTAAATATGCAGCTAATGGTGGAGTTAACTTCTTCTCTGAAATGGGTGTTTGCGGCACCTCGGCAATTAAGAGATGCTGCCACACATCAAACAATTCATACAGCAGATCTCTTTCCATTTTTACTTCACCCTGTGTCTCTGAAAACATGCTTCTGTCAGTCCATCTTGACTTTTCATTCATGTGGACATGCTAAAATACTCTTACAGTGTTTCCTGCACTCATGTTGAGGGCAGTGTCACGGCAAAAGCAGAAATGTTTTAGTTATGATGTTTAGAGTTGTGAACTTGTTAGTCTGATTTGAATGAGATGAGAAAGAGTGATTCTGTGCCACAAAGTCTATGAATAGTTAATGCATGTTTCTTTTGTGTTGTCCTCACTGGTTGCACGCAACAACAAACATACAGCATGACCAGTGTAGTCCAATTCATGAACCGATGACTATTATGAACTGGCACTTTTTAAAGAATCTTAAAAATAACTCAAAATTTATCCACGAGTTATCAGTTTATACATATCCAAAAATTCAGCCATAATTTACTCGCCCTCATATTATTCCAAGCCAATACATCTTTTATGTTTGAAACACAAATTAGGCTATTTTTAACTAAACCTGACAGATTTCTCACCTTCAAGTGGCTTAATCTAAGTCTTCTGAAGAGACATTTCACAGCCAGTGTTGGCAGATTAGGTTGATGATTTCCAGCCCCAAAGCTCTTCAAAACCTGGTCAAAAAAAATCACAGCCAAAGGCATGTGATAGAAATCTAACCAAGGTTGACACTGACAAAATAAAGTCATAAAATCAATCAGTTTTCCAGACAGGATAACAATACAACAGGAAAACAGATCAAACATGGCAAATACAGTAAAAGAAAATTAGCAAATATGACAAAAAATGTTTTTACCCAAACAGGTAGAAACTATTAAATGTATTCAAGGTAGTCAAGAAATTAAAAGACCTTAAAGTTACGGTAGGCAACTTTTTCCAGAAACATTTTTTGCTTTACTGGTTGAAAGTCTCTTCACATCCTGATAGCGATCAATAATTAAAGTAGTCTAAATATAAAAATAAATAAATATATCTTTTGTGGAAGTCTCAGGACCATAAAATGTTCATCCAATCTTTGCATTTGGTCCGAATGCAAACATAGGATGTCCTACCTGCCTGTCAAAATATGTATTTGCATACCTCCGCACAGCCAATAGTGAGAGTTTGGGGGCGTGGCTACTGTAGGAGGCTGACCAGAGGGTGTTTAGCGGGTGTGGAAAAACAAATTCAGATTCTATTACAGACGTGCAAACTAAAATTCGAAGACTTGACAAAATACACAGATACAGATAACGGGGTAATACAAGAGTAAACATTGGCAGTGTTTTTACAAGATGCAGAAATTTGGTGGAATGTTTGTATTTCAAACGATACAACGAACTTATAGAGTTCTTCAAGTTAAAAGCATTCCTAATATGTTTTATTTTATTGACAGCCTGCTTTTACCTGTTGAGAAATGCCTTCACTTTTATAGACCTGTAAGAGCTGTGTTTGTGATGTTTGAGTTGGGAGAGGCGTGACTCGCGAAAGGAGCGTTTGCAAAGGTTTTTTAAAAGCATGCTTTATTTTTGTAGTTCTAGTCATTTTAAAACACACATGTATCATTTTAAATGTCAACAGCAAAAACAATTCAAGTGCAATTGAAGTGTAGACAAAACCGTGTAACTCATCAGAATAAACCATGTAATTAGTGCAACAAGCTGACTTTTTGGGTTGACAGTGATACGCTGATGCACTCACCATAACAGCCGAAAATGTGTAATTTGTGTTA